AATTTCAATATATATATATGATAATATTTTGAAAAAAAAAAGTATTTTTCTTGTCACAGAAAATAAACTATATCCAATAATTTAAAAATAACATCTTTTTAGGACTTGAGAAACAAAATAAAGAGTTTTTTTTGGGTATTTTGTTTCTCTTTACAATATAAATTTTGTTAAAATACCTTGCACTTTTTTCTAAACCCTGTTATTTTTACCTTTTAATAAGGAAAGAGTTAAATGATTGGAATAATTCAACAAAAGAAAGTTGCAATTTTTATTTGATATTTTAATTTTATAATTAAAAAAATTCGATAACAGCTTAATTTTTTATTTTATTTTGCAAACTCGGTATCTTTTCATATTAGATTGCTTTTGCTGTATAGGATAGATACAAGTCATCATTCAATTTATATATCAGCAGCTGCATATTCTTATCACAAGAAGGATCAAATCAATTTCGGAAAAGAAAGAAACAATATTAAACCCTCAAATTTCTAGATTCTATTCAACTCTCGCAAGTTGCGCGACTTTGTGGAAGAATGTTGCAAAGTTCCAAAGTTCTAACTTTGCGTGAAATTGACAAAATTCCGTGAATAATAGAGTCCTACTTTTTAAGCACAAATTCGAAAGTTGGATTCAGTATGCAAAGCCACATCATGCATCTTCAGTTCCATATAATATATGGGATAGGATATTGTGACAACCAAATAATGTTACTATTAATGTTACTATCACATCTTAACCGTTGATTTCCGTCAATCAACTGTTATCATATAATTGCGAATTAATAATTAATTAATAAGTTTGATTTGAAAAATGATGACCGTTGATTGGCGGAAATCAACGGTTAAGATGTGGTAGTAACATTATTTGCTTGTCACAATATCTTATCCCATAATATAATATATATATATATATATATATATATATATATATATATATATATATATATATATATATATATATATATATATATATATATATATATATATGCTTAGATCTAATCATTAAGAAGAATATTTCACAAAACTTGGTATCATTTCAATTTAATAAACATATCTATATCTAATTGGTCTGCATTGCCTTATATATGATAGTGAAATGTTTTACATCAAAATACTAATCCGTTTTCCATTGTAGCTCTAAATTTTTATTTAATAAACTATATAAATACAATACTATTTGTCAATATCTAATGAATTATCAAAATATTATATCAACTTGGAGCTGATATTGTCTTTGTTAGAAAGAATATCTTTAGTATATCTGTAAACATCTATTTTCTTATTTTATTTGGATTTGAGTTAGGTCTGGGCTAAGCCCATTAATGTATCTATATATATTGTACCTATTGTATCAATTCAATACATACTGATTATTTCACAATTCCTTTCGTCTCTTGTTATTCAAGATGGTATCAGAGTCTAATGAAAAGAACCTTGATCTGTTTCTTTTTCCGGTGAACCCACTGTTCATCGTCTTTTCAAATTTTTTATGAATATTGTCTCCTTGTCAATTTCTGGATATTTCTTTCCTTCTTATATCGTATTTTCATCGTTGCTGAACCTTTCTCTCCGCGATCAGACGTCAGAACCCCATTGCCGCCACATCTTTGTCGTCAACCACCACTATCTGGTGGCCGTTTCCGGCGATCCACTACTAACGTGCTCATCTCGGCAGCGCAGTCTCGTCTGCAGGTGTCACATCTCCAAAGGCTTCCCCACGCGCTCTCACACGCGTGTGCAAGGTGCGGCTTCTTCTCCCGTCAGGCGGCGCGTGGCGGCTCTATTCCAGCCTTGACATCGTTGCATTCTTCTCGACTATCCGCGACAGTTCTGGTTTTGGTCCTGTTTTGGTGTTTTGACATCATTTTTTATTGACGCACAAATCTCTCTTCTACCGATTAGTTTTGTGATCTATCTTTCTGACTTTTTTCCGATCTTTCTTTTGTTGGGTGATTATGGATTCCCCTATCTCTTCTGTTTCTGGGTCTCTGGCTGCCCCCAAGTCAGAGTCTACTATTTTTTCCAATTATATTAAGTGTGGATAAATTGGATGGGTAGAACTATGATTCTTGGTAGTCAGATCTGCGACTTTGGTTGCATGGGCAGGATTATACATCTTATCTCACTACTAAGGCTGACTCTATTGTGGCTAATGCGCGTACACGATGGAAGATGATTGATGCTCAGTTATGTAGTCTCATTAAAGCTATTTTTCATCCTTCAATTAAGCAGATTTTTTGACCTGTCAATACCCGAGAAGCAATTTGGAGTTAGGCAAAGGCATTGCACACCAATGATACACATCGAATCTATGGTATGTGTCAGAAATTGATGACTACCTTTGCTCCTCGGGATTTCAATTATCCTATGTCTGAGTATTTGGGGAAAGCTCATAGTTTGCTTCATGATCTTAATGAACTTTTTCCCCTTACTGGTGATGTTACTAAGGAGCAAGAACAACGTAATACCCTTTTTATGTTGTTCATTTTATATGGTTTACCTTCCCATTTGTCCGCCAACTGGGATCAAATTTTGGGGTCTGCTACAGTTTATACACTGGATTCTGTGATGTCTACCTTGCTTAGAATTCCACCTAAGCCCTCTACATCATCAGCATCTCCTATGACCCATGTACCTCCGGTTGACACCGTTGACTCCTCTGCCATTACTGCTCAGGGTTATGGTCGTGGAGATAAACCCTCTAAGGGATAGCTAATATGTACTCATTGTCATCAGACCAATCATACTGTTGACCGTTGTTGGAAACTCCATATCAAGCCACCTCAACCTTTTCTGAATGCTCATGTTGCTCAGGCTTCCTCTAGTGCTCCTGTTCCAGGGTTACCTTCCGTTGCGCAACCTCCGGCCGCTCTTCTTAATGAGTCTGTGACTTGGTGGTCTGAAAAGCAAGCATCTGGTCCTACTGCATCCATTGCTCCCACTAATAATTGTTTTAGTGGGATCTATCAGTTACACTCTCTAGGCCCTTGGACTCTTGATTTTGAGGCTTCTGATCACCTTTCTGGTAATAAGTCCTTATTCACTTTTCTTTGTACCACTGGTTCATTTTCTACTATTTTCCAATGTGTCTCTGGTCCAATCCTGTGAGATCAGCACAGTTCTTCTTTTACCTTCATTTATCTCTGGATCATGTTCTCTATTTTCCATATTCTCCTTTTAACTTACTTTCTATTAGTCATTTGACAAAATCCATTGATTGTGTTGTTTCCTTTACTAAAACCTTTGTCATCTTTCAGGGAGTTCGGGGAAAGAGATTACCAAAGGATGTGAGTCTCATGGCCTCTATCAACTGTTTCCTTCTCCTTCAGCCTGCTCCATCGTGGATTCTCCTCTCACTATATATGCTCGTTTGGGTCATCCAAGTCTTGTCAAGCTTTAGAAGATGGTTCCACATTTATCATCTTTTTCTAGTTTAAATTATGAGTCTTATCAGTTTGGGAAACATACTCGTAGTACGTTCCCAAGTCATCTTAGTCATCAAGCTTTGTCCTATTTTTCTGTGGTCCACTATGATATTTAGGGAGCAAGTCATCATCCTTATACTTTAGGGTTTAAGTATTTTGTTACTTTCATTGATGATTATTCCAGATGTACTTGGTTATTTTTAATAAAAAATCATTTTGAGTTATTTTCTGTTTTTAAGTTATTTTTAATGAAATAAAAACTCAGTTTGGTATTCCTATTCATACTTTTTGTAGGGATAATTCATGTGAGTATTGATCTCATCAGTTTCAGCAATTCTTTTCGTCTCATGGCATTATTCATCAAATATCTTGCCCTCATACACCCCAACAAATGGTGTAGCCGAGCGCAAGAATCGCCATCTTGTTTAGACTACTCGTGCTTTGTTAATTGATGGCAATGTTCCCTAAAAATTCTGGGGTGATGATATACTCACTGCATGCTATCTCATTAATCGCATGCCCTCATCTGTTCTTCATCACCAGATACCTCACTCTATTTTGTTTCCCCATCAAGTTTTATATCCTTCGACCCCACATGTGTTTGGTTCTACGTGTTTTGTTCATCATCTCGGTCCAGGATTGGATAAACTAGCTCCCAAGTCCCATAAATGTGTTTTTTTGGGTTATCCTCGATCTCAAAGGGTTACGGTTGCTACTCTTTGACTTTACATCGATACTTTATCTCGGTCGATGTTTCCTTTTTTGAATCAGTTCCCCTCTTTTTTGCTCTTCTACTACTCTTGTGGATACTAATTCTGTTCAGTCATCTCTCCCTGCCGACTCCTTTGAATACCTTCCGCCTTTACCAGTACATGTTTCTAACTCTTTTTCTATCACCTCTTCTCCTGATGAGTTACAACATAGTTCTTTAGATGTTTCTGTGGGCTCACATCCGACTGCATCTCCTCCCTCAACTTTGATCCCACCTTCGGCTAGTGACCTTCCCATTACTCTTCGTAAGGGTACTCGTGATACTCGCCCTCGGTCAAAGTATATAGTTAATATTAGTTACCATCGTCTTTCTCCATCATAATATGCATGTCTTTCCTCTTTGTCTTCTATGTCTATTTCTAAGACTACAGGTGATGTATTTTCATATCCTGGATGGAGACAAGCTATGATTGATGAAATGAGTGCCCTTCATTACAATGGTACTTAGGATCTGGTCCCTCTTCCATATGAAAAATCTATTGTTGGTTATAGGTGGGTTTATGTTGTTAAGATTGGTCCTGATGATCAAGTGGATCGTCTTAAGCTCGCTTAGTGGAAAAGGGTTTCACTCAAGTGTTTGGACTGAATTTTGTTGATACTTTTTCTCCTGTGGCAAAAATGTCTACTGTTCACTTCTCTTTATTATCATAGCTTCTATCCGCCATTGGCCTCTCTACCAACTTGATATTAAGAATGTTTGTTTCTTCATGATGATCTTGAGGAGGAAGTTTATATGGAGCACAACCTCCTTGATTTGTTGCTCGGGGGGAGTCAGGACTTGTTTGTCGTCTTCGCAAGTCTCTATATGGTCTCCAGCAATCTACAAGAGCTTGGTTTGGCAAATTTAGCAGTGTTGTTCAACAATTTGGTATGACTTGGAGTGAAACTGATCATTCTCTCTTTTATCGTCATTCAGATATCTACTTGGTGGTATATGTGGATGATATTGTCATCATAGGTAGTGATAACCATGGAATCACTCAGTTGAAACATCATTTATATCATCATTTTTAGACCAAGGATCTTAGGAGACTTTGATATTTTTGGGCAATCGAGGTGGACAATCTAAAGATGGAGTTGTGATATCTCAGAGGAAATATGCTCTGGATATTCTTGATGAAACTGCTTTGTTAAATTCTTAGTCTTTTGATACTCCTATGGATCCAAGTGTCAAGCTCCTACCAAATCAGGAGGAGCATTTTTCAGATCCTGAGTGGTATAAAAGATTAGTTGAAAAATTGAACTACCTCACAGTCACTCGGCCTGACATTTCATTTGCAGTCAGTGTGGTAAGTCAATTTCTTAATTCTCCATGTCAAGAACATTGGAATGTTGTCATTCATATTCTTAAGTATATCAAGACATCTCCAAGAAAAGGCCTTGAATATGAAGATAAATGTCATGTTAAAGTTGTTGGATACTTTGATGTTGATTGGGCCAGTTGTCCTACTGATAGGAGATCTACTTCTGGATATTGTGTATTCGTTGGAGGCAAATTGGTTTCCTGGAAAACTAAGAAACAAAATGTAGTTGCCAGATCAAGTGCTGAAGTAAAATACTGCTCCATGGCTACTACTACTTGCAAGCTCATTTGGCTTAAACAACTTCTTAGATAGCTCAAGTTTGGAGACACTGGACCAGTAACTTTCATTTGTGATAACCAAGCAGCGCTGCATATTTCGTCAAATTCAGTGTTTCATGAAAGAACCAAGCATATCAAAATAGATTGTCACTTTGTTCAAGAGAAGGTCCTTGTTGGTGAAATTACAACTAGTTTTGTACCCTCTAATGACCAATTATCAGATATATTTACAAAGTCTTTGAGCGTTCTTCGAATAGAGTTTATATGTAACAAGCTTAGTGCTTATGATCTATATGTTCCAGCTTGAGGGGGAGTGTTAGAAAGAATATCTTTAGTATATCTGTAAATATCTATTTTCTTAATTCATTAGGATTTGTGTTAGGTCTGGGCTAAGCCCATTAATGTATCTATATATATTGTACCTCTTGTATCAATTCAATACATACTGATTATTTCATAATTCCTTTCCTCTCTTGTTATTCAATAGTCTTCACTGTTTGTTATCTTCTACTCTTAAAGTTTTTAAAGAAATAATTAAAACTGAAGCAAAGACAGAAAAATAATTAAGAGAATTTAAATCATGTATCTTGCCAAGTAGAAAAAATTCACAAATATTAAAGCAAACCAAAAAAAGAAGAGCGAAACGCCTTCAACGAGGGAAAAGAAAATATAATAAGATTTGAATCAAGTCAAGCGAGCTAGTTATTCAATAAAATAACAAACACTTTATACAACTTGCTAGTTGCACGAACTTAAATATAAAGGTAAAATAACCAAGAAAGCCACCTAATCTTAACCAGTTGCTCCCTACAAGAAAGCACTATATAGATTATGAAAAAATTTCTCACGCTTGCTTTCGAGCTAATATACATATTTCTCACAATAAATAAAATGCCCACTCTTGTTGTCGTCAATTTCACAGTCACTTGCTTTGCGTTGGAATATATATTCTCACAAAGAATAAGTAGATGCACATTCTTATTGTAATTTAGCATTATCACAACGGTAGAATATTACCAAGCAGCTCAGCTCTTAGAACCGGAAGCTGGAGGTTGGTGCAGCTGCTGATACATGGCAGCAATCCTACTGTAGGCATCCATTCTCACGGGCTGCTTGCAATTAATATTTTTGATTAATTATCCCAGTATAAATATTAAAAATATCATTCCCTTTTTTTAATACATTTTAACTGAAAAAATATCAAATTTAAAGAAAAATTATCTCTGTAACAAAGGTTTTAGAGCTTACACAAAAAAAAAAAAAGGTTTTTATAATCAAGATCTAAGTGGAGAAACAAGAAGTTTCAAAATGTGCAAATAGAGGTATTCTAATTGGCTTCGATCAATGCAGAGCCATCAGTGAAAGTGATGTTTAATAATCAATGCATGTGGACATTTTTAAACCTACATTTGAAATGTTAATTTGAGGAATTTCTTTCGAACCTCACCCTTCTTTCCATTACAACTTTGGACAGTGAAGTAGTATAAAGATATACAAATATTAATTAATGAACTTTGTCACTGTCCTAACAAACCAAAACACAATATTAATGCCACAATGAATTTGATTTGACTGATTTCTACCAGGTTTTGCTTTCAATCATTATAAGATATTTGAAGTTTTCTACCCTTATCCTCAATACATGGTTCAAACAAATATGCAAGATTTAAATAAATTATGAAAACTGAAATCAAAGTTCATTATTCTAATCAGAACTAAGCAAAATAATGAATAAACGTATATAATACGATTTGCTCACCTGTGATTGGCATCCAAAAAATGTGGACAAAGGGCCAGGCAACACTGTGGTCGGAGGCACTTGAAGTCGGTCGCCGGCGGCGGCATCCCATGAGGCCATAGGCATGAAGGCTGAAGGGTGGAGGACTGGAGGGATGCCAGGGATGTTACCACGATTCATTGTGTTCATGTCCATCATTCCCATGCCCATGCCCATACCCATACCCATCCCCATGCCCATTGGAGCCATCATTGACATTTGAAGTTGTTGCTGCAGGGTCATTGGCAGCATCATGGATGACATGTTGATTCTGTTCATCATCTGCACTTGGCCTTGCAACTGTTTCAGATATTCTATCACCTCATCCAACATTGAAGCTTTATCAGTCTGTGACAAAAACATTAAACAAAGTTCATATATATATATATATATATATATTTATATATTTTGGGTACAAAGTTCATATATATTAAAAGCATACAATTATGTTACCAAAAAAACATACAATTATAAATATATAATCATAAATGGGTCCAATATATAAGAAATTACATATAACCAAGGCATATAAATATGGGGCTGGATATTTTCTGTTGATTTCTGTGAATTTAACTATTTAATTTATTGTATTATATTTATTAATTATTTATTTATTAATTTTTAATAAATTATAACAGCTAAATTGATATAAATCAACACTTAGGATTTGGTGAATTTAGTGTCAAACGATCCTCTCCTGATAAATATTATGATATAATTAATTGTAATTAATTGTGCATGTAATGAAACCTGTCTTTCCTCTAACAATCTGTTCAATTTGGGTGGACAAACTCATGAATAGCTATATATATTCAACCTGCAAGCCGACACTGAACGTTTCCTTTTTTCCGTTTATTCTGATTGTGGGTAATTTTTCTTTCCTCTATCTTTTTTTGCCTCTGCTTTGGGCTTTCCGCAAAAATATGACAGTTACCAGAGTGTTTTTGGCATAAATGACATCAGGGCCTACCACTGGAAAGGGTTTATGTGGGAGCAGTTGGGTGTCTCCTTACCAAAGAACCTTCTGTCAAGGTGTCACAATATGTAATTGGTGTTTGTGTGGACTCAGATGGCTGCAAAATCTACCCTCGAATTCCCGTAGCCATATGATTGGAAAAAAAATTTGACCACAATTATCTCATTGGCCAGAGTATCTATTCAATTTGAATCTTTATGATTTCAATGTTATAATATCATATAAATAATTATTAAAAGGAGTAATAATTGTGTAAAACTAATTAAATTAATTATGTATAAGATGTTTTAATATTAACTATATACACTTAAAGACTAATTAAATTGAAGATAAAAAATATGTAAGACTTTTTGTATATTTATAAAAGTCTTTTAACAATAATCTTTCGACAGGATAATATCATATAAATAATATGCAAAGAATTTGTGTGTTAAAGTTTTACATTAATTGAATCAAATAGAACGTATGAAAGATAGGTACGCAACCTATCTTTTAAGCCTCAAATAAACCTTTCAACAAAAAGAAGTTACAAATTAAAAACAATGGTTAATTGTTACGTGAAATTTTGTTAAAAATGATCTTAAATTATTTTATTTTACGGGAAGGCCCGAGAACTTGAAAACAAAATCATTCAGAGGGAAATCCAATGTGAACTGGGATTTATAATGTCGAATCCTTACGGGACGGCTACCTAAATCTAAGAAAAATGAATAAGCGAAAAAAAATGTTACCTCTAGTATATATAGCAACTGTTTCTTTCACTGAATGGATACGGATTGGGACCAATAGATACTAAAGAATTGGCTCAGATACCACACATACAATATCATCATTAGCTTAGCAAAAACCCACTAGTTGCAACTATTCTATATACCTTGTTGGAATTTGGGACCAACTTCTGCAATGTCTTCATTTTTTGGTTTATCTTATCCCTCCTTTTCTGAAAAGCCAATACAAAATGAACCAATGAACAGCATATTCTAGATTCTGTTGTTAAAATATCATCATAGAAAAGTTGATTAAATGCTCACCCTTTCAGATTGGTTATGTATAGCTGCAGCTCTGCTCCTTTTAGTGGACACAGAAGATTTCCGAATTCCTCTCTTTTTCTCCTCCTCATCCCCATCCTCCCTCTTTGCAAAATTTGCATAAGATAATAACAAATAAAAAGTTAACATAAATAGAAAAAAAAGTTCAAGAAATAAAATTAAGTTAATTAATATATATATATATATATATCAATTAAATATGAGTAATTGAGAGCAATAAAGAGGCTTACCATTGATCTACTGTGACAAACAGAATCATGGTCATCTACTGTGGTGGTCTTGGTGCATGGCGTGGCAGAGGTTGTGTTTTCCGGTGACCCCATGGAGGTTGAAGTGAAACCAACACCAAGTTCCCTGTCGCACGTGTCTAGAGTCACGTGCTGGCTGTCCCTCCCGAAGGTGGCGCTGCCACTCACACTCTGGCTCAATTCGTGCGCAGCCACCGGCACACGCGCCAACCTGGTACGCTTTCCCGCTGCAGCTAGGCGCGCTCCTTCATCGTGGGTGGCCGTAGCGGCGCCGCTGCAAGACCCCACACGTGCGGAGCGACCCATCATGCACGCTCCAAGCGCTGCAGGGATGGAATCTATAACCTGGGTGCTTTGCTCCTCCGTGCGGTTCGAGCATGGGACCAATGCGTCCATAGTCAAGGTGTTGGAAGCAGCGGCGGCGGTGACAGCAGCATGTTGGGGCTCAAACCATGGGACAAACATGTTCCCACAGACACCACCGCCACCGTTACTACTGTCTAAAGGTTTGACGCGGTGGGGTAAGCCAGTGGCTTGGTTGACTATGGACTCCAAAGTGCCATTTGCGCGAGGCTTTTCCCATGTGTACTTGGAAGGAACAGTGGTGGCGGCCGCGGTGGTGATGGATTTTACGGGCACTCGTGGCAACCCTAAGCCATGCATTGAAATTTGTCCATTTTCCCATGTCAGTTCTGCAACTTCATAGTCTAACCTGAACTCATTAATTACACAAACCAGTCATCAATTAATACCAGTGAAATGATTTTATATGTGTGTGTGTGTGTTTGTGTATGTAGAAAGAGAGAAACTGAAACAAAAGGATAAAGAGAAGATGAGGAAGAGTGCTAACATGGGGACATCAGGGGTAGTTGAATTGGAGTTGGAACAAAGAGAGACTCTTGGGGGTGGTGGGTTGTCATCGACATCCCAGCTGGGAACACACTGGCTCATTTTAGTGAAGAATTGAAGATAGTACTCTCCAGCTGTGTTATTGGAGAGGAATACTGAGTATGGAGAAATGAGAGAGGAAAAGATTGATTGTAAAATATTTGATAGATCTATTTGTTGGGGGTGTTACCCCCTTAATATCACAGCAATGAGGGAAAGTAGGTTGTGGTTTTTATTTCAGTATGGAAAAAGCGAGAATCTAGTCCATAAGTGTTTGAGTGAGAACGTTGAGTCACTTCTGATTTGTCGTTTCAACGATTTAGATTTGTTCGGTGTATGTGTATCATGCTCATACATTAAAAAATTACTCTGTAATACTGTAGAAAATTTTAAAACAAATTTGATGATCGAGTCCATAAAACAAATATAAACTCAGTGTTCTGGATGGCCCGAATATTGGGACGGCCCAACTACACAGGTCCAACCCTCAGCTGGCCCAATCACTCAAGCCCAGCCTTAGCCTCGCCCCACGTCAGCCCTTAGGGCTGACATGGACCCCTCAACCCCCAACGTAGTAGCAGGCCCAAGACATACACCAAGATGTCCCATCTTGGAACGCTAACCGTTGAAGGCGACTACGACAGAAACCACAAAGGGAAACTCCCCCTTTGCCCGGCGCTGACACCGCCAGAGTGCAGAGGGCGCAGCACTGCCACAATGACAGCGCCAGCACGCCTAACACTGCACCATGGGAGTAAATCCCAAGGAGAGTTGACCTCTCCCTCACCAACCCGCTCCATTTCCCTTATAAATAGCCCTCCTGGGCACACCTTAGAGGTATCTTTTATGTACTGTTGTTATGCCCATTTACTTCCAAGTCATTCCCTTGTTATTAATCTGCCATTGCTATTAGCTTGCTTGCCTCTTGGAACTATACCTACTAGTCTGGTCATTACCTCGCCTAGTGGTATAATCCATATAGTAACGTTACCCTATAGGGTACATAGTGGGCTCACAGAACCTAACGGTACATTGGCGCCGTCTGTGGGAAACTATAAACTTCTATTCCCATTCTCCTACCAAAGATCCACAAGACGTGTTTTACGTTTTGGTAACAAACATGGTCGTCACAACCAGAAGAGCAGAACAAACCAGAGCTGTTACACCTGACGGTCATGTACAAACAATACATTCAAACTCCCCGCCATCGATGCATTCAGCCCCAGCCGAGAGACCCCCCGGCGAGATGCTCCAGCCAGTACTACAATCCGTCGATCCACAAATGCAAGCAGTCGAACCCAGGATAGCACAGTTGAACTATCACGCACCTATGCGTGAAATGCAAGGAGAAAACTTGATACAAGACCAACCCCCGCCACCAGGAGTTCGTTTTGGAATGCCTCTTCACACTTTTGCCCCACCAGTCATTCCCGTCCCACGAGCCCATCGTCCGCTACCAGCCCAAAGTCTACCAGTAACCATGCACAACGATTACCGAGCACCGATGGTCACCTCGTTCCCTATGGGACCATACGCCCCATTCCCTCAGCTTTACCCAACCGGTTTTCCTTTCCAAGGTTACGCTGCCCAACCCCAAAATCCGGTCGTTCCACTACACCAAGTGTCCTATCAAAACCAGGGTCAGCAACCATATGCCGCCCAGCAACCTTTCAATCACGCCCCAGCCCTCTCCTACTCCGTTGAAGCTCCTCAACCGCAAACAGACCGGCCACCCCGAAACAACAACCTACGAGTCACGCCAGCTCATACGTCAGGGCGCAACAAACCCCTGACTGATATCCTCCGGTTAACTCCCATACCCCTTGGTTTCAAAGGACCCTCCAATATCACCACATATGTCGGAGATGCCGATCCTTTTGAATGGATCCAGAAGTTTGAGGCGGCCATGACTCTCCATGGTGAAACCGACCTCCTCATGTGCAGGACCTTCCCCACGCTACTTGGGGGACGAGCCTTAACATGGTACACTACTCTACCGACTGGTAGTATCGCTTCATGGGATGAGTTGGCGAGCAAGTCTCAGTCTCACTTTGCAACCAGTCGCCCTGTGCCGAAATCCGTCCACTCTCTAGAAAAAGTACGCCAACAGCAAGGCGAGTCCCTCAGGTCCTTTTTAGACCGCTTTGATAAGGAAGCCTTACAAGTGTAAGGCCTGGACCCAAAAGTACAGGTACATATACTTCTTTCGGGTTTGCGGCAAGGTGCGTTCGCGTACGAGCTCGCCCGCCACGAGATCACTGACCTGGAAGAAGTCAAGAGGGTGGCCCAAGAGTACATGCGAATCGAAGAGTACAAAGGAAGTCGAGTCGAGGACGCCCACGGTCAAGAAAAGGCACTCTCGGTAAACAAAAGAACCAAATGGAAGAGAGTAAGAAAGGAAATAAACCAGCAAAATATTCAAACCGCCCTTCCGGGCGTGATACATCAGGTCGTCAGACACACGCCGTCCTGCAAACGGAGTATAAGGAAGAATCCAAGAACACCCAACAGTCTCAGAACCCGCCTAAAGAAAACATCATGTACTGCAAGTTCCATCGCAGCAACGGTCATAACACTGACCAGTGCAGGCACCTCAAAGACAAAATCGATGAACTCATCAAAAGCAGAGTGCAGAGGCGAGGAGGAGACGGCTCACGCCCATCGGGAGCAAGGAGGCGATATCGAGAGCGCAGAAAATCGTGACAGGAGAGAAGATTCCCCCAGGAATCACAGAGCGCAAGCAAGTCCAAACCGTAGAGGTAGGCGTGAAGAAGTAGACGAAGATTCAACCGCGGTGAAGCACAGAGTGATCAACATGATTTCAGGCGGGCTGAGCGGAGGAGGAGAGACTGTGAACGCCAGAAAGAAACACTTGAAGCAGTGTCTGGCGGTCGCTGGTAAAGTGATCAACAAAGAAAAGCACAGTCCTAGTCCAACAAGGCCTCAAATTGTTTGGGACGCCAGCGATTTAGGCGATGTCCTCCCAGGACATGACGATCCGCTCGTCATTCAAGCTATAATCGCCAACTTCGGCGTTAATCGCGTTTTTATTGACCACGGCAGCTCAGCCGATATTTTGTTTTTACCATGCTTTAAAGCGTTAGGGTTCACTGTTGATAGTTTAACTTCTGTTACAGGTGAACTCTCAGGTTTCAATGCTACCACCACAAAGCCACTGGGAGTGATTACCTTGCGGCTTTCCCTTGGAACACCACCCACCTCACGATCCGCAGACATCCAGTTTTTGGTGCTCGACACCCCATCAGCTTACAACGCCATTCTTGGTACAAGGATGTTTGCTGTCTTCGAGGCAAGCATTTCACACCCCCACTTGGCAATGAAGTTCGTTGCCCGGGACAACAAAGTCGCCACAGTGCGAGGAGACCAGACGATAGCCCGAAGCTGCTACAACATATCCTTACGGCCAATGGCCAAAGCTAGCTTCAATGATGAAAGGGCGCTCAAGCAGGGGACGACGTCGCCATCAGAAAGAAATCTCGGCGATAAGTCAAAAGAGCGTGACCAATGTTTTTTGGTAGAATTTGATGCTAGAGACGATCCGCGCGTGGAACATGACAGACCCACGCCTGATGAAGCATTGGAACATGTTGTCTTAGGAGATGCGGATCATCAAACAACAACCATCGGGGCCACCATCGACCCAGAGATGAAATGCAAGTTAATCAAGTTGCTCAAGGAAAACAAAGATTTGTTTGCATGGAAGCCCTCTGACATGCCAGGTATCAATCCAGACGTTTGCTGCCACCGTTTGTCGGTGGATCCCAAAGCCAAGCCAGTCTCCCAGAAAAAGAGGAAATTCGGTACCGACCGCCAGAGGGTGATTGATGAAGAGGTCAAAAGGCTCCACGCCGCCGGGTTCATCAGGGAAATCAAGTACACAACTTGGTTATCCAACCCAGTTTTGGTTAAAAAGCCAAACGGCGCATGGCGAATGTGCGTTGACTACACCGACCTAAACAAAGTCTGTCCAAAGGATGCTTACCCTTTTCTTAGCATCGATCAGTTGGTTGACAACGCGTCCGGATTCAAAATGCTATCATTCATGGACGCATACTCTGGTTATAATCAGATCCCACTTCTTGAAGAAGTCCAAGACAAAACGGCGTTCATCACTCAGAACGCCAATTACTGTTATACAATGATGCCATTCGGTCTAAAAAATGCTGAGGCCACTTACCAAAGGATGATGAATGAAGTATTCAGAGACCTGATTGGCAATTGCATCGAAGTATACATCGATGACATGATCGCTAAATCAAGAACGTCAGAACAACATTTGGTTGATCTACAAGGTGTTTTTGAAAGACTCAGAAAATTCAACATGCGCTTGAATCCAAGCAAATGCGCCTTCGGAGTTCCCGCGGGCAAATTCCTAGGCTTTATGCTCACCGAGAGAGGCATTGAAGTCAATCCTGATAAGTGCAAGGCAGTGATTGAAATGCGAAGCCCGCAAACAATCAAGGAAGTTCAGCAACTCACAGGAAGGTTAGTAGCTCTCACTCATTTTCTGGCCAATTCGGCTCACAAATCGCTCCCTCTTTTTGGCTTACTCAAAAAAGGAACCGCCTTTCGGTGGTCGGAAGAATGTGAAAACGCCTTCCAGGAATTCAAAAGGGCGCTCTCTTGTCCACCAGTGCTCGCCAAACCAGATGATGGAGAAATGCTTTATTTATATCTTGTCGTAGGTACCGAGGCGATCGGTGCAGCCCTTGTCAAAGAATCAAAGGAAGGACAAAAGCCAGTATATTTCATCAGCAAGGTTCTACAAGGAGCAGAGCTTCGATACCAAGAGGTGGAAAAGGTAGCTTTAACGCTTATCTTTGCCGCACAGCGTTTAAGACCGTACTTCCAATGCCATCCAATCACCGTCAGGACCAACCAACCAATCCGCCAAGTCCTGCACAAGCCAGACTTGGCGGGAAGAATGATGTCGTGGGCGATCGAGTTGTCCGAGTATCAGATCACCTATGAGCCTAGAACTGCCATCAAAGCTCAAGCACTCACTGACTTCATTGCAGAAATGACGCAACTCTCCCCACCCAAGAACCAAGCCATGGGAACACCGTTATCAGAAATAT